ATGTAATATTTTTATACAAAACCTCTTCTACATCATGTAATATTTTTATACAAAACCTCTTCTACATCATGTAATATTTTTATACAAAACCTCTTCTACATCATGTAATATTTTTATACAAAACCTCTTCTTCATCATGTAATATTTTTATACAAAACCTCTTCTACATCATGTAATATTTTTATACAAAACCTTTTCTACATCATGTAATATTTTTATACAAAACCTCTTATACATCATGTAATATTTTTATACAAAACCTCTTATACATCATGTAATATTTTTATACAAAACCTCTTCTACATCATGTATTATTTTTATACAAAACCTTTTCTACATCATGTAATATTTTTATACAAAACCTCTTCTACATCATATTACTCACTCTATATTTAGTGATTTTTATCTTATTTTCTAATGAACAGTTTAAAAACCAAGTGCATGCTTGTTTCTGAATTTCATTTTGTTTTGAAAGAGACATGCAAATGTTGTAAATATGTTTTTCACATGACAACTATGAATTGTTTCTTCACTAAATGATTTCTATTGAAAGTATAACCCTTGAGGGTTTATTTTGTTCAGGTGACAAATCCTTGTCTGTATCGACACTTCTAAGCTAGAGAGTTTATGATTTAAGTACACAGTCGAGTCAAGTCAGTTAACAAAACTTTCATTTTTTACAGTTACTGATGGATACTTCGATGAAATCTGACCACAATTTCATGATTGCAAATAAAAAATGGTGCATTCATTCACAGTATGAAATGGTTACAGACAGACATTTTTGAGAGTCTCTATACTTATTGATAATAAGAAAAAATCCATTTTTTAAACTAAACAGACACATATATATAAATTGATCAAAGAAATGGATAGTTCAACTCTACATGAAATGACAAACTTGTGATCAATGACAAATAGTATCAGCATGAGGCTTGTACAACAAAGGCAATATTCAAAACAACGGCATAGAAGAATTCATATTCATGAAGAAACAGAGTAAACACCAAAAAATTATTTCTTACTTCGGAGCATTCCTCGGAGGTATTATTTTGTTCCATTAATATCGGGTTTATTACAGAAATCTGGTCATTTAGTTATTACCTTTACACCTGTAAAGCATTATTATGAAAGTAATCTAGCATTAATCTGAAAAACACCTACCGAGTATTGAAATTTGAGTTTTCAGCTGACCAGCCTTCCATTATTTCCTCATCATACAGAAGAGATGAGCACAGGTGACATTTGGAACAAGTGGTCATTGTGATCTCCATGGCAATTCTAGTTGTTGAAGCATTAGTATCCAGCACAGTATCGAAATGACCACTACCCATGTCAAGCAGTTGACTTGCAAATGTTGGAGCACTCCCTAGATTAAATTTAATTTAATTGATTTGAAAAAAAATAAACATAACAAGATACACACTTTAAAAATTTTTTATATTGCTCACATAAGCATATTTTTGAAGGTTTGTTACTTTTTAATACGACAAAATTCTCAATAAACTGCCAAATATTTGTGATAAACTAAAATCTTTTGTTTTAAAAAGTCCTGTTAATTTTAATATTCTCCTTCATAACCATAGTTCTCTTTTAGTAGAGTAGAAAATAACATCCATAGTGAATAATAAACAAATTTAAGAATGGAGCAAGGAACATGGCTTTCAAAATTGCATTTATTCAGAAAATAGATTTATTTTAACTCGATGACTACTGGTACTAACTTTCTTAGTAGGCCATGCAAGTGTGAGGGCAAAATCATTTGTGAAT